GACCCTAAAAATTTAGAAAAATTTCAGAATGGTCCCTGGAGCATAAGTAGCGATTCTGGACAGAAATGAGGGTGAATTATGGACATAATTCCATTATAGTCATGAATTTATGATATTTTTAATTTGATCCTTTAATTTGACAAAATTATAATTTGACCTTTAAAAATATAATAAATTTTAATTTGGTCCCTAGCTGTAATATCAGCCTTTTCAGATTGGTTTGATGAATAATTGAGGGTCATTTAGTGAATTCTTATCAAGTCTTATTATTTGTTTTATTATAGATTAGATTTCAGAAAATTGTTTAATTTTTGGGTTTTTAGAAAAAATGACTAGTTTAATTTAAAAATATATAGGGGTATGAAATAGACCCTGTGTATTAAGTAGATTGTATGTTTTTTTGAGTCGTTTTTGAATATATCTCCTTTGTATTCAAATAATCATAATATTCTACCGGCAGGATATTATTACGATTTTTTTTTGTATCTACTTTTGAGTTTTGTTTGCTTTTAAGTTAAGTGAGACGATAATTTTTCATATGCATGAGAAATATTATAAATATTTGATTTATTAATATGAATTGGATCATGCTTCTTGATAATATACATGCTGATTATTATCATTTTTATAATAAAGTATGATCAATTGTTGAATCTGAATTCTTGATAAATACCAGTATATATTTGGATTGACTTCTGAATTAATAGCTCCTCATTTGATTGATGTCATGAGTTGAGTCTTGAGATATGAATATGTCTTTTTTAATATGATTATGAATCTATGGTATGCCAATTAAAATATCTATGTTAAAATAGTAGTGTTAGTTTTTGTGCACATCGTATCTACATCCTAGTTGATTAGGGGAGTCACCAACTTGTGTGGACTAATTATCCTATAGTATAGAGCCTCATGCTCATTACATTTTGATTTTTTGACAAGTTTTACCTTGTAATATTCTTTTTATGGTCTATTTGAGAAACCTTCCTATAAGAACCTAAAGCCATACTTATATATATATATTTCTCATTATTGCATTACTTCGTGTGTGTATATTGAACGTTATCTACTCATTGAGTTGTTGAACTCATCCTTTAATTATTTATCTTTTCAGGTTTATAGCTTGTTAGCTGGTTATTTTATTGGACCTTCAAAGCTTGTTCTTTTGATTGTCATCTGTAGCTTTCTTTTATGTTTACTTAGTGCTTCAAAATTATAAATTTATATAAACTCTTGTATTAAGACAACCAAATTATATTATGAAGTTTATTTTGTTATTAGTATGCGTTGAACTCTGATTGAGTTTAAAGAATAAGTTTGTATATAAGTTTGGGTTCGCATAAATATAGCACTTTGAAGTAGAACCTTGCCTGTATGCTAGTAATGGATTCAGGATACGGGTCATGACAGAGTCAATGACGATCAACAAACATCATACAAGGAGAAATAAAAAACTATATAATCACAATATTTTAAGGAAATTAAAGCACAAATCTTATAGTAAATAAATGAACACGTCCATGCATAGAAAATTAATCATGTATTACAAATTTTTCAACACAAACAAATCAATACATGTAAATATAATATCTACACGTAGAAAATCAATAACATATTACAAATTAATCAAAACAAGTGAATCAATGCATTGAAATTCCAAATTGACCTTCAGAAGCTAGTGGAATTGGACTCTCAATGTTGAGTTTTGCACGATGCAAATGCAAAGTTGGACGAAGACAGAAAAAAAATATGACAAATGTATCTTGGTCTTGCAACTTAAAAATTAAGAACGGAATAACAGAAGCTGTAAAGGAAATTCCATGCCTTATTCTCGTTGACATTGACCTACTTACTTTATCATATGGCTTAGCTATTAAGCTACACAAGTTAGGCTGTTTGTGCTTACACTGAATGGTAAACAAGGGACGAAAAAGGAATAGAAGAATGGAATAAAAGATCGTGTAATTTGTAGGCAATTCTTTTCTCAAGGAATATGCCTTCAAATTTTTCTTATGGAGAACAGATCTTATCATTAGTAGATAAATTCATGCTCCTTAATTAACGAGGCATGCTGTGATTGCACCACGCAAGTTAGCAAGTAATTGGTGAAAATGTTATTGATAGAAAATATCATTGATATAGAAATTAAATAGTGTTTGCTATGCTAGAACAACTCTTGTTTGTGTAAAGAAATTATTTGCATAAAGAGTTTGCGTGGGCGTGCTTATAAAATCTTGAAAAAAAAATATATATAAAAAAGCGTGCTGGACATGATCGGATAAACCGAGTCAACACTGGATCTGAGATGAATTTTTTAGTGGAAACTGGTTTGCAACAAAGAAACTGATCGGCAACATTCAGCGGGCGTTTCCATTGGAATGATTACTTCCATTATTTCTTCTGTCTCTTCTTTTCTAGGATCAAATTCTTTATTTAACTTTTCCATGTCTTGTAAAATTAGAAAGTTGTAGAACGTCTTCCATTTGCCTCAATTTGGAATTGAACACAAGGGTTTTGTTTTCTGCAAGCAATACTTCTTGCAGCTCTCTGGGCGCTGCTCTATTGGCAGCTCTGTTAATCAATTCGGCTTTCATCACCGACAAAAGCAGGCAAGTTTGAATTTTATGTCCTCAGAGTTTTATTTAGATGCAAAGTTAAGCAGAGAAAATATGACAGGGATGGATCTTGGTCTTGGTCTTGGTCTTGCATATATGTTAATAGGAAGATAGAATTGGTTGTCCCTTGCCGTGAAGTGTGAAGGAAACTTCGTGTCTTCTTCTCATTGACATTGACTTGATTGCTCTAGGAGGCTAATGGCTCAGTTATTTTCACTTGGACAAAGAAAATCAGGCACGAAATCACACAAGATGGGCAGTTGATGCTGTTGTGTTCTAATCTTCCAGGCAAAAGGGAAACAAGGAAAGACGATGGAAAAGGAGAGGAAATGAAAGTATAAGCAAATCTTCAAAGATTATGCTCACTTGATTGCTCTAGGTTGGTAGGCAATGCTTTTTCTGTAGAATCACCATTGCTTTTTGTTCACGGTTAAGCAAATCTTCAATGATTATGACTCGGTTTTTGTCCATTTTATTGACCATCTCTTCTAGGGGTAAAAGCACCTTTCATGAAAACATGAAATAGGCACCGTGATATATATCCCGCCATGTCTAATCTGGAAGCAACCTTTTCTGTCCATAGTTTCATCAACTGTAATTTGAAGGATTCCTAAGATGTCACTGGCTCCTTCAAACATTTCTATGAAAAATTTCCTGAGCTTCTTAACTTTGTAAATTCATTTCCTATAGTCTAGGGTTTCAGAGTTGTCTTGGTTATGTTTCTCCTTGACTAGGAACTTCAAGTTGTTTAGAGTTTGATGCCCCTAGTAGTAACTCTGTTACAACAGAGTCTAATATCTTGCCGTCGGCTGAATAATTTTTTTTAATGTAAAAGTTATATATTCAAAAAAAAATAATTCAAGTCTGCAGTCATTGATTAAATAGATAATTAAAATATTTATGAAAAAACTAACAATAGTAAATAAATAAATAAAAAACAATGAAAAAAAACCTATAACTAAGTCTATTTAAATTATCAAACAACTTAATATTACCCTAACTAAAGAAAAACCAAGAAAAAAAAGTCAAACTTAAGAAACAAACAAATAAAACATCAGCTCGAAGAAGAGAAAAAAAATCATGCAAATTTAAACAAACCTTCTAAACTTAGTCCAATATAAAAAATTTTAACTTGTTAAATTATAAACTTGAGTTCAATCAAGAAACTTAAATGTCATTCAGTTTAATTTGAAAGAATGAAACTGTTAAAAAACTATTAATAATAAAACTTGTAAAAAAATAAAAAATAAAGCTAAGATCTGATAGGAAAAAACAAATGAGGTTGAAATCCAAAAAAAATTGCAAACAAAAAAAAATTACAATTAAAAGAATTAGGACCAAACTTGAAAGATTAAAAAATAATGAAAGTGAAAAAGAAAAACATTGTTGAGGGCTAACTCAATAGAATCATACAAAAAAAGAATTTACAAAAAAGAGAATTAAATAAAAAATAATAAAATAAAAGTTATAAAAGAGAATAAAAAGAAAAATGATATAAATTTTTTTTTAAAAAAAGAGCAAACCTTCTAAACTTATTCTAATATCTAAAAATCGCATCCTATAAAATGTTTTAGCTTCATTCAATCAAGAAACATAATTCTTAACTAATATAATTTTAAAGGATAAGATCGGTAGAAAAGTATTAATAAAAAAACCTATAAATATAACAAAAAAATGAACATAAAATTTGATAGGAACAAACTTAAGGAGAATGCAATTTAATGAAAAAATAAAATATAATCCCAAATAAAATAAATATCAATTAAGAAACCAAAAACTAAATTTTAAATATTAAAAAAATCGCAAGAGATGAAAATAAAAAACATTTATAAAAATAAAGTAAATCTAGACAAACATCTTAAACATAACTAAATCTTAAAACATTCACAACCTATGAAATTATAATAATAAAACTCCTGAAACTAAAACTAAAAAATTTAAATTATCAAGATAATGTACTAATTCAACTGTTTTATAAAATTTGAAATACAATAACATCCTTGTACAAAAAGCATTTAATTGTTTTATTAAAGGGTTACATTGGAAATCTTACTATGTATTTAGAAATCCAATTTTCAAAATAACTCTGTACAATCTTTAAAAAATATTTATGTTACAGAGAAAAGATGATCCCACCCCGAAGCCAAGGGGAAAAAAACATAAAATAACCAAGGGAAAAAAATTAATGAAACTTTTATAATAGACAGTGTTATGTGTCTTGAGAGACGGTAAAACCCCTATTAGAATTAGTGTTTTGGATAATGTTTTTGATCCAGGAAATTGCTGCCACCTTCTTTATCCATGGTAATGTCACTACTTCGCACTCTGAAATTGCACACACCAAATCCAGTTAAGAAAACAAAATGCAATCTTCTTTATATTTTCGTCTAATGAAGAAACAGGTGAACGTTATTACAATAGAATAAAAAAACAAAATGCTCAATATCGTTTCTGAAGAAGAGGAGGTAAACAACGATGGTTGTCAAGCCAGTTTAAGTTGACGTCTTCTTTATGCACCTTAATTCTCAAATTCCTGAGCACATGCTTAACCGATTCCCATAAACCGGCTGTTTCTTCATCGCATACGACTTCCTCCAAATGTTTAAGATTCAAGATTGATGATGGCAACTTATAATAGTTCGAGCAGCCAATCATGTGTAGCGTGCTCAAGTTTTGCACTTCTCCGATCTCTTCTGGTAATCTTTTAGTTTCTAAACACTCTGATATGTCAAGAATCCTCAACTTATGGAGGCCCCCAATTGTGTTTGGCAACTCTAGCAATTCTATACAGGAACAAAGTCCTAGAATTTCTAAATTAACCAAGTTGCCAATTTCTCTAGGCCTAGGCAATGCAATCAACTTGTGACAATTGGTAATGCTGATTTTCTTTAGCTTGATAAGATTAAAGATCTCAGCAGGCAATTCTATCAGATCATTGCTGTAGTCAGTGTTTATTTCCTCTAACTTTGGCAATGCTTCTGAAACCTGGATGGTAGAGGTGCTAAAAGCTTGACCGATTCTGCACGCAAACAAAGATAGCTTTTGTAGATTCTCAAACTTCATATTTGTGAAGGCAAAGGAAGGAATTGAAACCTGCTCCAATCTGATTCTCTTGAAGTTGGGTACAGAAGCAAGAAGTGAGAAATTACTAAATTCTGTAGCAAAATAACCATGGTTCATGTTCGACAATTAAAGATCATAACCTCAACTTCAGGAGCTTGCATGCAGCACCAACTTGATGAGAAGTTTTCATCTGCAAATGATATTTATTCCACAGGATGTGAAAATGCAGATGTGCAGACGTTAAACTACTGTTATTAGAGACGGAAATGATAACCTGTGGAGATAGACAAGAGGCGGCTACTAATGCTTGGCTGCTTCTGTTCCATCCACCAGTCAGGGGCGTTGTTTGCACAGATCTCCAGAACTTGTCTTTTTCTCTGCTCCATTAGTTCCAAGTCACTTTGATGGATAGCTAGCTCTCTTAGAAGATCATGCTGCATAGCGAAGTGATGATTATAGCAGTTGCTTAGATAATTCCTGTCAAATGATCATAAGTTGACTGGTTAGGGAAAATCCCAACATTAATTTTCTCATGCTAATCAGAATTTCATTCTCTTTCTACTTCTCTGTGATTTTTGAAGTATCAAACGACTAGCAGAATTGACATGAATAAAATGACAATCCAGAAAATTAAACAAGAAGGGAAGTTTTTGTCTCGTGCATACCTTGTGACTACAAGATCAACTAAATTCATGTTAGGGAGTTCCTGGATTTTGGCAACGGCATATGCTTCTTCATCTAGCTTGTACAATTCCATCTACATGTCTCATCCGTTCTACCATCCAATGCTTCGTTCAGATTTTCAATGTCTTTGAGAATTGGAATGGATGTATTCCATTCACTCCAAGTTGGACTTAAACATGAGGACTTTGTCTTTCACATCCATCACTGCAACCTCCATGAAATTCCCCAGAACAGCTGCACCAAGTAATTGAGCTGCCACTGCTGTTTCCCTATGAAAGTTGTCAAATCCTAGATTTCAATAACTTCCAGTTCTCTCACGGAAGTAGACCAAGTCTGTTAGGTATGTTGTATTGGTCTTCAATCAATGTATGAAACGGATTTGTACTGTTTCTGTGAATCAAACGTCGCATCTTGTGCTCGCGGTTTAGTTATGAGACAAACCAACGCGGGCCTCCAATAACGCATGATAAAGCTTGATTCACTGACATTTCTCGGCTGAGGTGTCTGGACATCTCTCTCTCTCTCTCTCTCTCTCTCACACACACACACACGTATAAAACTTCTTAAACAAAGGTGTTTTTCTCTAGCTAATTAAGTAAGATTTATGTTACGATATTTTTTTCTGTTAAATTTCATTACTTTTTTTAATTAATTTCTTAATTTTTTTTACGGTTGGTTTTTTAATTAATTAAGTTAATTAAATCATAATAAATTCTAAACTCAAATCAAATAAGAAATTTTTCTATTAATTTTATTTTTTTTTCTCAATTTTAATTTTCAATGTTTTTTATTAATTAGTCGTGTAGGTTTTTAACTGATGAAATTAACTAAATTATATTAAAATAATTTTTATACAATTAAAATTTTAAATTTAAACTAAATGAAAAGGTTAAAGTGCTTTTTTGAATTTAATATCAAAATCAATTAGTTTTATACGGTCTTGATAATTTTTTTTTTTGGTTCAAAATCCGAGCAACTTTGCAGCCCGAGCATGCAAATACTTTATTAGCTAAAATACTAAAAGAAATGGGAGTAGCAGCGAATCAGTTCCCTTTCTTTTCTCTTTTTCTTTTCATATTTATTTAAGTATACTAAAAGAAATGGGAGCAACATCACTGTTGATTTTCTTTTCTCTCTATTTTTTTTGTTCTAAAAGTTTTTAAAAATTTAAATTTTTAAATAATTTTTTTATATTTTCAGTTTATTTAATGTGTTGATGTTAAAATTAATTTTTTAAAAATAAAAAAATAATTTAATATATTTTTAAATAAAAATATTTTACACCATTACTACTATTATAATTCTAAACAATTGAGTGTTGCTTAAACCGTTACTACAATCATAATTCTAAACAGTTGAGTGTTGCTCGTTGAAATAACTAATTTTTTTTTTGTCATATACTTTTGCTCTAATTTTTTTCTTTTCCTATTTTTTAAAAGAAGGGTACTAAAAGAAGTAGAAGCAACTTTACATTTTTTTCTCTATTTGTTTTTCCTGTAAAGAAGCGTACCAAAAGAAATGGGAGCAACTTCGTTGTTGACATGAACGAAGCATCATGTACCTTTTATATATATATATATATATATATATATGTATATGTATATATCTATGTATGTATGTATTTTGTAATTATGTCATTGTGCTGTCAGCGGGGGTTGTTTCGGCCGACTATTGTGCTGGTTGATGCTGGCGCTGGCTGGCCCGTGGATTGACGGCAGCGGTAAATTTACCCTTTATTTTTTCTAATCTTGATTGTTTTTTAAACTTTAATTAATACTCTCTTTCTTTAAATTGTTTGGCTTTCCCCAATTGATTTTTTTTAAATTATTTAGTATTTTTATAATGTTTCAAAGAGATTACTGTCAATTTTCTTTAATTTGTTTTGTATTTGATATAAATAAATGTATATGTATGATGTATTTATAAAAATATATTAAAGAGAAGAAAGAAGCACGCGCATAGAAACTAATTTGTTCCAAATTACTTTGAGATTTGTTGAATGAAGACTTCTGCACTCTTTCTTTGATTTAAAATCTTGTCAAATATTGCAGCTCTTAGAAATTGCTGGCAAGCGGCGTTTTGGGTTTATGAGGAAACGTCTTTTGCAAGGAAAAATGGCATGACGCCATTACAATACGATTTTTAACGAGGGCTCCTAACAATTTACAGAGTCACACCATCTTTCTATGCATTGAAGGAAAGCACAATGACATAGTTACAAATCAAAGGCTCGTCAGAATTCCTGGAGAATAATCATTATCAGAAGACAATGGCTACCCAAGCCAGTTCAAGTTGTTTTCCTTGTGTACCTTTATCGTCAGAGATGGAAGTCTGGGTTTGAAACGATTCCATGACATGGCAGTTTCTTGATCGCCTATTACTTCTTTAAGGTGGAAAAGATTCTCAACTGATGATGGCAATTCACAACTTGAGCAATCTATCATGTAGAGCTTTCTCAGATCATGCAACTGACCGATCTGTTCTGGCAATTTTGTTACACTTAGACATTCGGATATGTCAAGAATCTGCAACTTACGAAGTCTACCGATTGTGGCCGGTAACTCTGTCAATTCGATGCAGGAGTTGAGCCTTAGGACCTCCAAATCAAGTAAATTTCCCATGTCCTCTGGCAGCGCCGAAAGCTTATGACAATTTGTGATACTGAGCTTTCTTAGCAAGACAAGATCACAGAATCCTGTCGGCAATTCCTCCAGATCATTGCAGTAGTCAATGGTGAGGTCGACTATCTTTGGGAATGCATCCGAAATATTGTTGGTAGATTTATTAAAAGCTTCGTGAATATTGCACATAACCAAGGACATCTTTTCTAGCTTCCTCCATTTCATTGAAGTCAAGAAAAGGGATGGGATGGAAACCTTCTCCAGCCTTATTCTCTTTAGATTTGATAAAGAACCAAGAAGTGGGAAATTGCTCATTTCAGATGGAACGAACCCATAATTGTGAAGTACTAAAACTCTTAGCTTATCCATTCTTTCTATGAACTCAGGCAATGAGAATTTCTCTGTCTGAAAATTCAGAAGTAAAACCTCAACTTCCGGCGCTTGCATGGTGGACCAACTTGATGAAAAATTTTCATCTGCAAACAAGGTGATGAAAATACAAAACATTAAAAATTGGTTGTGTATGTTTGATGCTTGTGCGCAGAGGCCAGGCTATCTTTGTATTAAGAAAATAATAGGGATTAATAACCTGTTGAGATAGATAAGAGTTTGGCACTGATTGATAGCTGATCTTGTTCCATCAACCACTCAGGGATTTTATTTTCAATTATCTCCAATAATACTCGTTTCCTGCACTCAATGTTTTCTGAATTGCTTTCACGGATGGCCAGCTCCCTAAGCAGATCATGCTGCGTGACAAAGTGCTCATTATAGGAGCCATCGTCTTCGTTTGCATCTTTCCTGGTGAATCACAGGAGTTGATTGCTTAGAGACTCACACTCTTGACAAGTTAGCAACTAACAGTACACAAGTTAATTGAAATGAATAACGTTAGTGGAGTTCTAATGACCATCAAAAGTTGCAATCATAGCAGTTGAAGCTGGTCATCCATCAGCGAAACCAAAAAGACAACCACTTATTTTAATCCCCCACAATCCAAGTTGGTAATGCTTTTGTTCTGCTAATATTTTCCATGATTTTGTTCTGCAAATATTTTCCAGGATAGCTAATTTTATATATAAAAGTCCATGTTGTAGTAGGATCCATATGATATTCGTAGAATCTAGGTTTGATGTGAAGATTCCACATACTATTACTAGAATAAATACCCTGGCCATGATAATGTCAATAGGGTTCATAACTATCATACCTTGTAACTAAAATTTCAATCAGATTCATTTCAGAGAGTTTGTGGAGGTTGGCAATGGTGTCATCTTCATCCAGGTTATACAATTCTGCCCACATATCAATAAGGGTAGTGGCAGGAATTCTCTGATCTTCAGGGAATGAACCAAGGTCCATGAAACATTCCTTGGCTGCTACATTATCATTCAAGGCTTCCACGCTGCTTCGAAGACAATCGAGAATTTTTTCATAGTCGGAAAGAATAGAAACAGCTTTGGAGCATTCCCTAAGTCTCTTACGCCACTCTGCAGCAGACTTCCGGCACAAAGATTTTCCAACCACTGAAATGACCAGAGGAAATCCCCTGCAGCATTTTACCATCTGCAATTCAGTGCCATGACAAAAATCAGTAATTCCGTGCAGGTTGGTGGGCAGTAACAAACTAAAAATAAAGTTCCATTGTGTAAACACATCGATTGTTTCTTAAAAGTGTAAAATGGATGCTTTTCTTTTCTTTTCTGTAGTTGCAAAATTGTAAGATATCATCCCTGGAGTAAATTAACGGATTCAAAACACATGGTTTCAGAATTTTTATATGAAGGTCTGATAGCACTTGATAAGACAACAAACAAGTAGCACAAGTGCATGCTAAATCAGAGAGTCAAAATATTGGACACATAATATTTGTTC